TCAACCATCCTTTGCTCATTAAGCATGCAATAGAGTCATTAACCAGAACAGAGATAATTAACCTAGCACCTCCAATCTGTGGTGTGTGAAACCTCTCATTTTCCATCTCTGTCAGGGAACAGGTCTCATCTCCTCTATAAGCTCTGCTCACTGTGAGGTCCTGACTTTTGCAATGTGTTATTAAGAACAGTTTTTGTGTCAACGCTGAACATATAACTTATGCCTCTAATTGTTATATCCAAATGAATGCCTGCGGCAAATCACACCCTACGGCTTTTTATATGTCAGTTCGGAAAGACTCATCATGGGAAAAAGAATTCTCTATACCCAGCTGGCAATATTTACATCCACAGCTGGAAGGAGAGTGGGATATATATACGTGAAGCTAGGCTACATACATTATATCTACCAGCAGCACCAAGATAAGGGCTGAGCTACTTACAGCATACAGTAGATCTAGCTATATGTGTAAAGATGATGCCATTTTATCCAATTCAGGAGAGAGAAGTTAGAGCTACAACAGACTTGCCTGCGTACATGGTTATGAAGTGGTTGGCGCTTTTCAGCATTGGGGTCCTAGCTTTAACTTCCACCAAGCACACTATTGGCATGCATTTGTGGTTTTCTGTTCATTAAAGGAGAACTATGAGGTGAGTGAAAATCACTCAGCCTCATAGTTCGAGCCGATGTGTGACAATGAAGCTGTCACACGTCGGCTCAATAGATCGGGAAGTGAACACACATCGTCACTCGCTCACTTCTTAATCATCTCCCTGTAGAGAGCTGTAACTGTCACTCACGGCTCCCTGCAGGGATCCCGCCCCCTCTCCCATCCTCCAGCACTGACTGGCGGAATGGACAGGGGAGGGGGCGGGTACAGCTGGCTCTGCCTCTAGAGCCGGCTGTCAATCACGCAGCTGGGTGGATCTCCACAGTAACGTCGGGATCAGTCCCGGCTGCGGCGTCTCAGTACACGGAGCTTTGTGTCACGGGAGGATGCTAGTGTGTCCTCCCGTGACCCTTAGGAGAACTATGGGGAAAAACACTTACCCCATAGTTCTCCTTTAAGCAGATCAGTCCTATATGTGCATATATGCAGTGGGGCAGGAAAATTAGACTGTAAGGTCCTTCTGGAGCAGAGTCTGTGCAATATTGGTCTTGCAGGAATTTTCAGTCTGGTGTTTGGTCAGCTCACGTGATAGACTACAATCCCAATATAAATGAACAAACGTGAGATTGTAGTCCATCACAAGAGCGAGCTCGGAGCGGTGACTACTTTACAACACACACAGGGACCATGGGGAACAAAAGTAGCCACTCTCCAGAAGGAAGGACAGTGTCGGCACCAATTCAGAGATGATTTGAGGATCTACAGTTGAGTGATACACAAATAAGATACATTTTTGTTCATAGCGAAGTTACTTGAATGCATTTGAATGAGTTTACTGTCACTTTCATCTCCAACAACAAACATGTGAGCTGCAATTGCCCGCTTGTTTTAGAAAGTGCAGTTCTCATCCTGGAACGAGAATGCAGCCAGAACAATATGGAACGTCTGAATCCACTGTATTCAAAAAATTCCAGATGCTGCTAACCTGACCTCAAAAACAACAGCTGTTGAGTCTGGCAACGGTCCATTCTGGAGCCCAATGCTTCATTGTGGGAATTAAGGAGACCAACGCATACCTAGAAGAAGCAGGTATCTTCTGGCTGACCTGTTGGCAGAGGCGTTTCCTATTCAGCACTAGCTATATATATATATATATTTTATTTATTTTTTGGACCTGGTTTCCGTAAATGCATCTCTAATAAATCACAATTAAAAAAAAGAAAAAGAAGCAGGAGAAGCTTTTCGAGAATGATCTGTAAGCGTCTTGGTCAGGTTTATCTAGAACGTACAGTCTCTGAAGTTACAGGTCAGTATTCCGATTCCGCAAAGGCCGTGAGATGCTTATAATAGACGGGGGAATCACTCATGCACAGGTCTGCCATACGAAACATCATTTGCCAAGATTTAGTCATTTGTGCTCAGTGCTGAAAGTTGACACTATTTAGGCTCTCCAGAAAACTTGGAAAGTCACCGAGGCGTGCAGACTGACGCTACAAGATGGCTGCTTTACCTGTGAGCATCATTGAGCCATTCAGTGTCTGTTCATAAACTGCCAAGACTGGCTCAGGGCTCCTACAGGCTCCTATAATATTACATTACAGTCCACCAGCACCACCAAGTGGAAGAATAAACAACTAAAAGGAATAGAAGTGATTTTTATATTTAAACTAAACATGTACTGAACATAGAATAACTGAATATAGTTTTACATTTACTGGAAGATGGAAAGAATGATAACTACCTTCCATTTTCACCTCTGTCATTAGGGGGGGGGGTCTGTCAGCTCTCCACAAAGCACAGATTCTGGTGCAAGAGTGCCTTATTGCCAGGCCTAACATGGAGAATGTGTGCCTAAACTGAGCCTGTGCTTTCAGGACAAAACACTTTAAGCCCTCGTTCACACCTGAACGGTTTGTAGCGCGTTCTACGCTCGACGAACGCTCTACAAAACGCTCAAAAATATAAATCCCATTGTATTCAATGGTCTCGTTCCCACCTTGGCGTATTTCCCACCGTCCCTAACGCGCTACAAAGCGGCCCACGCCTGAAAAGGTACAGGTACTACTTTGGGCCGTTTTGTTGCGCGTTTCCATTGGGCTACAGCCAAGTAGCCTTCGGAAACGCGCGACAGACGCTCATATGCAATACGCCTAGGTGGGAACGAGACCTAATACCCCCCCAAGCAGCACTTACTTGTCTTTTGCTCCATTCAGCTGCTGGCGGCGAGGAAAGAAAACCCTCTGTACGCGCTCTGTAAGTAGCTCTAGTCTGAGCTTACACAGGGCTGAGGTCTGTCTCACTATGACCAAGAAACAGTATTAGCCCCATCAACAAGGCTGTCCCAAAAGATGTCGGGGCGACAGTAACATGTTCTTCCAGACCCAGAAGCAATGGGAATTTTCTTGCTCCTTACGGATGAACAGAGCGGCAGGGAAGCTTTGGAAAGCTAAGTATGTGCTACTGTGGAGGGGGCGTTAAGTGGACCTGTTTCCAAAGGGTTCCGTCTTAGGCCTCATTCACACACAACGCAAGAGCAAAATTGTATGCATATTTGTAAATGTGTATATGTGCACATATGCGTGAATTGTATGCAATCCCAGAATGCATAATTCTTCATAGAAACTTAAATGTACTGTACATGTGCGCACGTGCGTAAAAGACGCAGAAATTCCGATCCAGAACGCATCTCGGTTCCTTTTCTTTTTGCGCATCTTTACGCAGTGCAAAAGTACGGCTCCATACGCAGCCATTTGCGGGCAAAAAAAACACTGCGGGCATCTATGCGCAGCCCTGTCAGGACTATTCTCATAATGCAGAAAGTAACATGTGGTATCTTTATGTTCCTACTATTTACTTGTTAGCGTAGGACTTTTTTTTTTTTTTCTGGAACTTGACTATTTACCTGCCCTCTCATCACTTCAACCAAAGCTCCCTTTTTATTTTTCTTTAAAAACCTTATTCATACTTTTTTTTCTTCTTCTTTAGGTCTTATGCCAGTGACTTCATCCCCAACAATTTAAGGACTAAGCAGCACTCATGGACTGATGTGTGAGCGTCACTCATTTCTGGAGTACGCAGAGCGCAGCCTGCTCAATAACATGCCCGCTGAGGAGTGTGTAAATGACAGGCTGGGCTCACAGGAAATGGAAAGAGTGTCATTCTTATCTGAGGGGGATTGCCAGCACTGGACCAAGGAGATAGTCAGGACAACACTGGCTCATGGAAAAGGCAAGTTAAGATTGGCACTATTAGTGGGACTTAAAGTTGCATCTATCGACAGATCCCCCATGAAAGAATTGTGCTTTTTAAGAGATTTTAAATCCTTGTTGCCACCGGGAAGTCACCCTCTATCTCAGGTGCTTTGTTTTTATTATTCAAGTAGATTATAGGGGTGCAATCCCCTATACAGCAGCACTCAGACTAAAAGCCATTCAAGTGAGCTACATGCAAATGTGTTAACAAGGAACATACTTCACAGAAGACAAGAGCAAGGTGAGCAGAAGTGTCACCTCACCAGTCTGCTGCTGCTCCTTTACTGTCCAGTAAGAAAGCTTCCGGTAAAGTAGGGAACACCACAATTTCTTAACAACAAGTGGTGTCATCCACATGGGCGTGCTATATGACGGGGTTGTGAACAAAAACATGAATGTTTTGGAGTGTAAAAACAACTCCCATATGTTAATCCATGTATTTTTCCGTTTGCCTGCGTTAAACTTTTAATTAAAAGAAAACTATAGGGTAACCTTTTTATACCATAGTTCTCTTATAGGACTATTGCTCACTATATACCGAGATCCCGACAATACTGTCGAGATCCAACCAGATGCGTGAGTGACAGCAGGCTCTGCCTATCTAGAGGCAGAGCCAGCTGTGCCCGCCCCCTCCGCCCGTTCCTCCAGTCAGCGATGGAGGATCGGAGAGGGGAGGAGGGAATCCCTGCGGGGAACGGTGACCGACAGTCATGGCTCTCTGCAGGAAGATGATCGGACAGTGAGCGAGCCACATTATGCGTTTGCTCACTTCTCGATCTATAGAGCCAACGTGTGACAGTTTCATTGTCACAGGTTGGCTCGAACTATGAGGATGAGTGAAAATAACTCACCTCATAGTTCTCCTTTAACTGACTATGAACAGTGAGAGTACCCTTGTAGGATATTCTTTACTAAATATATTGAAAAAAGAATGATCATGCATTGGTTTGTAAAGAATTGCAACCCGTTTATGTGAGTAACATTATCCATCTAAAACCTGCTCCTATTACTGACAGGGCATAATATCTGCAGCCTTTCAGAGTGATGAATAAATGATTAACAACAAAAGATTTGCTCTGTCTGTGGCTGCTTAACATTAAAATAACTTTTTTTTTTTTAGCATCTGCCCTTTTTCTTACCTTCTCAAAGAATCCTCCTCTGTACTCTCCTCTGGCAGATCCTGCGGTAAGGCTTCTTGGGATACATTCGGCGCTCTGGTGACTGTGGCAGGCTGACTGTAGACCCGCTCCCAGTGTCCAGTCTCAGGGTTATACACTACACCCACTGTTCTCTCTTCCTGTGATGTCCCAGGTTCCAAACGGGAACTAGTGCCACCTGGCACACTTCCTATATCTGTTCTATCCACCCCGGATGTCCCAGGCTGCTCTGTGCTGCCAGCTGTCAGGCCAGCTTGGAAAGTACTAGGTGAAGGGACAGGTGGAGATTGCCAGGATGATGTGCCTGCTGCCTCGGGATAAGCTGGTGGCGTCCTTTCCCAGCGCAGAGTGTCGTTGTTGAAGGTCAGCAGATTGTGGCATGCACGGCAGCGATTCAAGTGTCCTCTAGGCTGGTTGGAGCTGCTCTCACCACTGTGTGCCTGATTCGGCTGGTGGGAGGTGCCCGGCTGCTCAGGCTCCAGGTTATTATTGAGCATCTCATGCGCCTGTCCCTGCTGTGTGCCTGGTGCTCCAGGTTCAAGCTCATGCAACCTATCGTACTCCAGGAAAAAGCGCCTAAGGTCACACTGCAAATCTGTTCGGGCAGAGGTGGGGTGGACAGGTGGCGGAGCTCCTGGGCCCTCCTGCTCTGTGCTTGGGAATCCTCTCCCTTCGGTAGCTGAAGTATATACAGATGAAGAGGACTCTCCTTCCTGTTGGCGCAAGACAGACAAAAAACCTACAGATGCAGCACTGGTTCTGGGAGGAGGCATGGGTTCCGTTTCAGGCCTGGTTCCCATGTTCAATACAGTGCGAGTCCAATCAGAACCAGCAATCTCTGTTGAAGGCTGCTGGTAGCGGGACAGCTGCCCTGTAAGGGAGCGGCGTGTAGGTCCCAGGCTCAGATTGCGCAGTGTATTACCGGCTGTACTACTGTGTACACTGCTAAAGGCAGAAGGTCGGCTTAGAAGTCCATGATCGTGCTGGGCAGATGATTGGTGCTGCTGGCGCTCCAGAGAATGCTGGGAGTCCGTCTGTACTGGCGAATAAGAAGTAGAGGTCACCCCTGAAGAAGTAGAGGGAGCACCAGGCGCTTCAGGGTGAGGGAAGAGAGGCGAAGACAGCCGAGCACTAGAGCAACGGATGCAGAGGCACAGCATATTGGGGTCTTGGCAGCATGGAGCAGTCACACCGGGGGCCCGCTCACGCATACGGGAATATAAGAGCCTTTGGTTGCTCTCTGTTGTAGGTGGAGGGGGAGGCGGTGGTGGAGGAGGTGACGGTGTGGCCGAGTCTTGTACAGGAGGCTGCTCTCCAGCTTGTGTGCTGGAGGAGCGGGATGACAGCATGTGCAGGAAGTTGTGGAGCAACGGAGTACGTCGTACTGGCTGAGTGGGTAGCAACGATCGCTGACGGTAGATGGGGATCTCCGCACTGTCCAGGGAAATCTCTGACTCCTCATCACTCTGCAAGAGAACAAAGATTAACAATGGTGCGTGGAGTTCAACAAGCAATCTGCTAATGTAGCTGGGACAAGACAAGAAGCAGCTTTTGTGCAGCATGTGATGACCTGTGGACAGTGCTTTATTTTCTTGACAACAAGGATGACCACATATCAAATTTACTCAAGAACACGGATGCATCCTGGCGACATTTCTGTTCAATTTGTCATCCTAATCCCACAAATGGACATAAATGGGACAAACTGTTTACAACTCACCAACTTGCTGCTTACAATAATAACAAAAAAAGAGCAATAAAAGCTGCTCAAATAATGACCTAAACTGGTTCATCTCTCTGGTTATAAGCTGTCCCTAATTTTCTTGGCCACTTCCTGTTTAAAGCCGCAGGGTGTGTGTAAAGCAGACACCAACTGGTTGCCTCTGCCCTAAAAACCAGCCAGTGCCTCCACACACATACAGGAGCTGAGAAACAATATACAAGGACAAGCGGCTGACAGGGCAACAACTTGAAGATTTAAAAGGTGAACTCTGACACTGACTGCCAAGCTGAGGAGTCAGCCTTACAGTATGAAAAATTAAATAACATGGTAATAACACCACTACATATTCTAATTATTGCATGAGCCCAAGTATTGTAAAAGCAGTTCCCCCAAAAAAGTAAGCAAGTTAAAAGGCAAGGGACTAGCCACCAGTATTTCTTGCAGGCATCCTGCAGCTAATCTTTTCCCCATTAGCAACTTACCATACCTCTTTCTGCACTGTCTGTGTGGAAGCAGCCATCTTGGTAAAGGAGCAGACTTTGCTACCCCATGTCAGAGCTGCCACCTTGGCAACTGTAGGGGGATGATCAAGAAAGAGCAGTAGAGGTGGAAAAAGCACAGATCCAGAAAATAAATGACATTGGATTAGGGAGATCCTTGCGCTGCATGTCTTAAGGTACTGTTTTCTCTCCAGGAAGGAGAACAGTGAGCAGCACAATAGTGACATCGCCAAATAGACTAGCAGTCAGAGTGACTTAGACGATTTCACACTACAGATTATACATCCTGGAAGCTACAGGATTTCCACGCACAAGGTACATTTTCCAGGGTACCGTTCACAGCACAATTATTAATTCTAGATGTTAAAGTGTAATTCCACTTTCTCAGGTGAATTTGGGAAAATAAATTACACCCCCCCCCTCTATGCTTACCTTTGGGCCAGCGCTCCTTCCCCTCCGCTGGTGGAGGTGTGCTATCTGTAACCCGTACTGCTGTGCAGCGCAACCCTGCACTCTGGATTTTGAATTTTGCTCGTAAGCGGCAAGCACTCATTGAGCAGCCTGGTCACCTGACTGCGCCTACCAATGAGAAGCGCTTCTTAGCAAGAATCGCTTCTCAGTGATCAGCACAGCCACAAGCGCTTCTCATTGGTCAGTGCGATCAGGTGACTGTGCTGACAGCACTTGCTATTTGCAAGTGAAATTCAAAATGCACAGCGCAGGGCTGTTACACAGCAGTACGGGTTATAGATAGTACAACCGCATGGGGAAGAGGGACGGAGCATAGCAAAGGGGGGTAAATCAATATTCACAAATTCACCTGGGAAAGTGGAATTACTCTTTTACATGACAAAACTTCCCTTTTGAGCTTGGGTCCACTTTAACCAACTGCACAGAACAACTAAGGAGTAGTATGCGAGGTCCTGCTCTATTACATACAATTACACTCCTTGCTGTGCATGAATCCACACAGTAGATAAATGTACTGTATGCTCATCTGTGTATAAGGGTCATTTCAACCGTGTTAATGACTTCACGGCACTCCTAAATCTTTCATCAGTGCTGCAACCAATATGTTCCAAAAGCTGCAAATGCTCTGCACAGTAAATGTACCAATATATTTCTAGGGAGCAACCCTCCCCATTTATATTTGGTAATCCGCAGGATTACATTTACATCCGAGTTATATTTATGGTCTTACCTGCTGGTTAGATGGGTTTACAATAGCAGTAAGAAGATAATGCCCAAGGGGATCAAATCGTACCAATCTGCAGGAGATAAACACAAGAGCATTAGAAAGAATTCATCAAGCTGGTATTCAATATAATCTTGTTTCATACCAGATATTGTTACCAATAAACACAACATAGTACTGTAAAGTACAAGCTGCATTAGTTGGACTTCACTGGAAGGCTCACCAGGTATTTGTGGACTTTGCAGAAGGACAAAGAGAAAACATTCAGTGCAGATGCACTTATAATTAAGTGTTGCAGCACTTTTTTTATGTTTTGTTTATTGGAGTTTATAGCTTTACTTTAAGCACTGGTTGTTCCGGCATCCTCCACAGCTTCTAGCTTTCAAGGTGTGACGTCACAGCACCCTTACTTTCTGACAAGACACAACGAGGCCATTCTTCAGAAAGTGACAACCCAGAATATGTGACAGTACCTGGTGACAGGTAATAAAGATCTGCCTTACAGCAAGTATAAAACTCAGTAAACGAGCCAAAAAAAGGCGGCACAATGAAAGACACATGCTGTGACAAGCTGCAAAGAAACGGGGACAAATGAAATACACCGGCATCATGAGGAAGCAGAGAATAAAGCACAGGTACAGCCGGTGAGCACAACCTAAATTTAGTGCGCTACAAACCTCTTATCGGGGACAAATACATAAAATAGATAAAGAATTCAGTAGAAACTCTGTCCATTAATTTTTTAGTGTCCCCATGTTACAAAATCTTCACCCTCGCACGATATTTAATGTATATCAGCTTTTGGCTACAGTAGGAAAAGTTTAAAACCCATTTTTATTTTGCCGTTTGTGTCTCATTTCCCTTCACTTCCTGTCCCATAGTGAGGGATATCCGTTTAAAGATAGCCATACACAGCTTGAATTTGGCTGAACGAGAGAAATCCATTCATTCCCCCATCCACTCTAAAACAGCATGAAAGAATCTCTACTGCTGGCTATGGTTTTTTAATCAGAAGATGCACCCGCAGCTGCTGGAGAAGCCAAAGAGTGACAAGATGGAGTCACCGTTCAGCCGGCAAATTTCCTCCTGGCTCTGACGAATTTTAAATGTAGTTATGTTGGCTCCAATTTCAGTTAATTTAGCAGGAATCAGCCAAGATTCAAGCTGCCTATGGCTTATAGTGACGTTAAAGTCAGAGTTAAATCTCAAAAATGCATTAATGTACCTTAAGTCTGGATCCACACCTAAGCGTCACCTATTCAGCGCACTTTTTACGCATGTCTCTTTTTGTGTTTTTGTGAGCAGATTTAGGCACATTCATGTCAATTAGCAGAACACGCCTGCAAATAATTGCTACATGCATTTTTTAAGCGTTTTCTATTGAGTCTATGGGACAAGCCGTGCAGAAATCAGCCCCAAAGTAGCTCCTGTAGTATTTTGTGCGTCAGGCGTATTTCTGCTTGCGACAAAACGCTGGGGTCATAGACATGAATGGAATTCCTAGTGATTAGCGGTTTGTCGCACTGATTTACGAGCGACAAACAGCTTAGGTGTGAAGAGGGCCTTACTATGAACAACAATGTATCTTATTTGTGTATCACTCATCTGTAGATCCTCCAATCATCTCTGAATTGGTGCTGACACTGTCCTTCCTTCTGGAGGGGGGCTACTTTTCTTCCCCATGGTCCTTGTGTATCTTGTAAAGTAGTCACCGCTCCAAGCTTACTCCCTTCATGGACTACAATCTCAATACACATTAGTAAACTAAATGTGAGATTGTAGTCCAACCAGGGGGCGAGCTTGGAGCGGTGACTACTTTACAAGACACACAGGGACCAAAAGTAGCCACTGTGTTTAGTGTTGCTTTAATAATAAAATGGTGCTATTGAAAGATTTCCTCTATTCCTGTTTTGGTGACAAATAAAAATGCCAGTTGTATTTTCAGTTCTGGTTACAATGGAACAAACAGGGTGAAGCTCATCAACATGGAACACAACCATCAATAGAAAACCGATAGAGGTTCTAACCCTTACCTATCAAAAAAAAAAGGAAGAGGTTTGGGCTTTGGCACACTTAACTCCTTTTCCTCAGCTTGTCACAACTGGTCAAATATGAAGGCAACAAAAAAAAAAAAAAACCTAAGTTAGGTACCTGGTAACTTATTTTCCAGGAATCGTCCAGGGCAGCCTCTGAGAGATGGGATCCTCCCACCTGAAACAGGAAACACATCACCCACAATTAGAATAAAAAGGGCGGTCCCTCATAACCACCTCAGTATTATCATAGAACCGAAGGTCGGAAAGGACCACCAGGCGATAACAATGAAACTCATGTTGAAACACATCACTCAATAAGCAGGGCGGGAATCCATGCTGCCCTGGACGATTCCTGGAAAATAAGTTACCAGGTACCTAACTTAGGTTTTCCCCAGTCATCGTCCAGGGCAGCCTCTGAGGGGATAAATTAGGAAGGAATATACTTAACCGGGGGGGGAACGACACTGGCAAGAGCACCTTACTGCCAAGAGTCTGATCACAACAGATGGAGGGTAACTCTGCAGTGCTACGCCAAAGATTGTAACTCAGCTCAGTGACTTCAATTACAGATTTTCTCTGGCGACCCTAGCCCCTCTGCCCCAGATGAGTCCAAAGCCATCATTGCAGCTGGTCATAAACCCTTCTAGGAGGATGACAGGGCGATGCACGTCCGAAGCCACCAAACATCAGTGTTATGGTGTTTGTTAACCTGTATCAGGCCCTGAACCAGGTCAAAAACATCCTTGGAGCTCCTCAGGGAGTGACAGAAGTCCAAGTAGTACCAGAGAAACCTACTAAAGCCTTGTTAGATTTAGAAGCCAACTTCCATCCTATGGAGGAAACAGAATAAAAAGAGGGACGCCAATCCTCTATTGATATACATGCCAAAATATACCACGAGTGTGGCTGTACACACTTGGTCATCACCTGTCTAGGATACCATGGATTAAGGCCTCAGGAAGGAAGGCGTACATACATACATACCTATGTGTACACTCACACCCAGACACCAAGAAGGTGCAGAGTTGTTTGAGATTTGTCTAGGACAGCTGTACTTGATCAAAGCTCGTCAATTCCAGCACTTCTGACCTTTACAGAACCCAAGGGCTCACTGGCTAAGTAAGTTCTACCCAGCCAGTTAACCCCTACGTTTAGAAATTGATTTGATCATTCCCAGATTTTTGAGTTGTTTGTGCCAACTCACAAAGTTAAAACATAGGAATTTGTCAAGTGGCAACCAATATTAAGAGGGTGTTAACCCTTTCATTACATGCACTCTCAGCAACCTGTCTTTCCCAACAAAGAAAAACAGTGCAGCAGTTTTGTAGACATTACTGGGCCTGACCTGTACTGCAAAGTGCCACGTTTGCCAGAGCATGCAAAATGCATCCTTAATTCAGAGAGCAGTCAGTAGTCCTGCGCCTTTCCTACGCAGGGCAAATACAACCTTGCCATCCTCCCAGATATAAGGCCGATTCTCTTGTGTGAAGTCGGAGAGAAGGAAAAAGCACGAAACCGACCACCTGAAGCCATGCTTGGGGTGGATACAAGACCAAGCTTGATATTCATGTAATAGCCTGGAAATAAGCTATGCCCAATTGAAGACCCCTAACAGAACATATGCTATAAACAGCCCAACAGATGTTTAAACTGCATGCGTCCAGTAAAGGGATGCACTAACAACGTCCTGTTCAGGGGAACCCCCATATGCTGGGCTTAAGCCAACCAGGTTTACATAGTGGGTGCCCATACACCTAAGGTAGGCGGCATACAGCTACATTCATACTTGCCATTTGCACTCCAAGCCTCCATGTGCAGAGAAAAATCTGGCCAGCCAGGCGGGCAGAAATATGCTATCTGCGTTAAGGACTTACGGACACATGACATCTACGTGCGTATGCGTCCAGACGTTATCTAATATTCTGCCACCGACTGACACACATGCGTGTGTGTACACACACACACACACACACACACACACACACACTTGCTTGCTTTTATCCACCTTGACTTCTGCAGGAGGTGGACTTCTGCTATATAAAAAATTATAGGCCAGGACTGGCACGGGAGTAAACATTATAAGTTGTCTTCCCCCGGGAGAGACAAGCCAGCATCTTTGCTCTTACAATGCTCTTTCACCGTATGCTGCACATACATATATAATACCCAGAGTATAAATGTACACCTAATAGCGCAGTGCAACTGGCCGGACACTGAGCTTATCCGGGGCTACACCCCCCTCCTGTAGTCAGAAGCGTAATTCCCCTGAGGAGCAAACCCACCCAGGTGAGATTGAAACCCATTGTGAACCCTCACCTGAGCAGTCTAAGGAGCTATAGAAGAGTCCCATAACCCTTCTCAGCACCCTGTCCTTATTCCAGTGGGATAAAGTTATAGCATATCCGCTTACCTGTTCGGTTTTAACCCTCAAGGGAGAAAAAGGGCCTCCAGAGATAAGGAAAAAACAATATATATATATATATAACCGTGCTGCCTAAGGAGGTAGGAACCCCAAGAATGTCTGGAGGTGTCCACCAGCGCTGTTAGAATGGTCAATCACACGTGTAGCCACTTGTGAATTGAAATTCTCTGGACAAAACCTCCCTAGTAGCGATATAACCCTATTACTCCTGCCAAAGGTAGCACAGGCTTCAGCTATAGTATAGATGCTGTACAAGGATCTCTATGCGTTGGTTCTCATCACAGCAACAGGGCTATGGTATACCCAATTATTTGACTATTCGTCGTATGCCGAATACCTAGAGCCTTTCTGGTTTAATGCTCGAGGGAAATCAATGCTTTCATTATACAGGGCAAAATATAATGGTGCAACCCCATGTCAGGAATCGCCCAGCTTGTCTGGAGATTATCCCCAGTGCAGACAGCAAGCTCACTCACATGTGGAGCATCCTCACCCAGGTGAAATTGAAAAATGAGCAACCTCAACCTATACCCAATAACAGAGCCTTATCAGGATTAACCCTAGTGGGAAAGCAAAGCTCTTGCAACATAAGGGCCAAGAATATAACTGCGCAAC